ATATATATATATATATATATATATATATATATATATATATATAGAACATTACATTTTAATATTTTTTTTATCCCATATATACTTTAGTATTAAAATGAAAATGAAATGTGAAAAAAATATCAACTCCTACAAGTAATCAATTTGGTAGCTAATTCTACTTACCAAACAAGTCCCTATATATTTGATTAATGTAGCATTCTATTGGGAATGTTAAATTATAATATTTTTACGAAAGAGTAATATTATTCATAGTCGCTCACTACGTTAGTCGCCTAACGTGGCTTCCTATATGACGGTTTATGATTTGATATATTAATATGGTAATTTTTTTTTACCATATATATCAAATCACCACAAGCGTGTCGCGTAGGACGACTGCAATAGTAAATGATTGTAAATAACATTATTCTTTACGAAATGATGGCATTTGTTCTCACAATTCACGATATTTAAGGCTGCAAACGTAATTGAATTTGTTTGCACTCTCATTTTGAATTAATTTTGACGAAACTCCATATTTCGAAAATATCGGACTCCATACATATATGTTTATGTATAAAAACCATGGAAATTCTAATGCTTCTATTTATGTTATACACTTTTTTTATGTTGAATCCTTTTTTATAACATTTTTTCTTCATTTATTTAATTTTTGCCCCCACCACTCTGTTTCTATTACCTACATGTCCACTCACATGAGCAATATGTATTTTTCACACAAATAGCGAGGTTCACGTGCGTTGCACGTTTGTTGATTAATGTTAAAAATAAGTACATGTAAATTTGAGATAAATTCATTTGTAAACATGAAAGATATTCATAGATTGGTCCAAATTGACTTATTTTTCATTTCTTTTTATATTTTTTATTCTTGATACGAACATTGGCATTTACTGTATTTAAATTCTCATTTGCGACTCTTTATTTATTAAAGTTAGTTATGTATTATTTAAGTTTATAATATTTTTGTATCCAATGTTGTTTAGGCCCCGTTTGTTAGCCATTTTTTTCAAAATGCATTTTTCTTTCTTTTCTTTTCAACCACGCATTTGGAATGCTTTTAAGATTTGGAACATTAAATTGTTCTATTGAATAAATAGCACTAATATTTGGACGTGAATTGGAGTACATGGATGGATATATGATCTCAAATTTTGATAGATCTTCTTGTTTAGTTGGTTTTAAGTCAATAATTAAATTTAAATTTTAAATGTTCAAAGTCTAAACTTTAGTGCAGACAGTTCTAATTTGTATACATGAGAATCTTGTATTACTTAATAATTTATTTAGTATATCTTTATATTTATTTCTCTTCTTGCTCAACTCTAGCATAGAAATATTTCATTACTTGTAAGAATAAATGTAAATGGTGAAAAGATTCCATTACTTGTAAGCTCAAAATAGAAGCTAAAGGTAGAACAAATTACAGATAATGTTTGTTTTAACTACTTCATGAATTGCATAAAATACAAGTGCTATTTTAAAGTTCATCTACAAATTTCAAAGGCTATTTGAAGCTACATCTTGCACTTCAAACTGGAACTCACATCATAGCTCCAATGCTTAAATATTTCACATTATTCAAGGAATTGTTTCATCTCTCCAGTAGAAAATAGTAAACACCGAACACTAATAAGGAATTGGTGAGAATCGGGGCAAGTGCTTGACAGCAATCCAGTGATAATTTTCAAGAAATCCTTTGTAAACTACATTAGGAGCCTTCTGTCCATGCTTTGGCACAATGTTTTCAAAAGAAACCTCATTTGTAGAAGATTTCAATTCCTCCCAACTGAACTCTTTAAAGCTTGGCAATTCATTTTCTTACCATTTTCTGTGACCATTTTACACAAAACCCAATAATATAAATTAAAGAAAAATCAAGATTTATGATCTAATTATTTATTTTTTAAATGTTAAGGCATTATTGAAACCAGTTGAAGTTTGGAAAGAATAACAAAATAATATAGATGGGTAGTTTCCTGCAAAAAAATAGAAGCATTATTAAACTCTATACACGAAAAAGAAGGATACATGCCCAGAAAGAGAATTGTTGAGGACTCACTGATTCCAATTCTATATCATTCTCTTCCTATGCAAGTGTAATCATATCAATATGCTGAAGTAGTTCTTTCTCAATTGCATTAACCTCTTTCATTTTTACCATAAGTGAACCGTGTTCATGGCTTATCTTCCTTGCATGTACAGTATCATTCCGTAGCTCTAGCTCATTCAGCTAGTCTGGCTGAAAACCAGTCATGACAAAGAAAAGCACTACTTAAGCATCATTAAGGGCAAGAACCCTAGGTAAGGGTTTCCTCTCAAGAAGCTCCAAGCTCTCATCATCTCCAGTCGAGATATGGCTCTTCTTGTCAGCAAGCCCAACCTTTTCAATAGTCGAAACAAAGTCACTGTCTCCAATGATTGATATCACTCCCTTGTCACTAAGCTCTGCCAATTTCTTAGCTATAGCCCGAAAAATAATAAACAATTCAAGCACTTAATTTCAAATATCCAGGTAAATGTGACAGAAAATAGAATTTATCTACAGTTATGAGTTATCTTATTATCTACTATACTCATGTTCCTATGGATAACTTGTCGAATTCGAATTACCCATAGGTCCATTCCAAATGACTAATTTCATAATATCTAGAGCTTTTTCAAACGACTTGATAGTTTCAGGTCTAATATCTAATCCCATCCAGCCATTAGGAATTACAAATGTCGAAACAACTTGCAAAAATGTTGAGTAACACTTCAGTAACTACTGTACAGAATCAGCTTGTTGGAAGCTGCAATCATTCCCATCTTTCTCCATATAATTATGTAGTACCAAAGTAAGCAATTTATATCATTTGCTACCCAGTGAGAATTACAGCAAGTCAAATTAATGCTACAAAAGCACATATCAAATCAAAGTTATAAGGCTCATCTAGAGCTTAAAAACATTATCAAAATGCCGTTGAGTAGAAAACCTACCTTGTTGTCTGCATTAGTAACAACAACATCAGCATGATTTACTCTAAATAACACAATAAAATTTTATATATATCAACATATAATAAACATAGCATAAATCTCAAATCCTGCAGTACAAAAACTCGAATTAATTGCACATATCTGGAAGAAATGTTATTTCTAAATAATCTATCAACCAAAGTAAAAATGTCACGGCAAATGCCAAATTGTAGATGAAAACAAAAAGTTTACAAATGGAATTTCACTAAACAACTGGTACATACTTATCATTGGGAGGTAGAAGTTCTTCTATTTGTTGTTTCTTCCTTTCGGACAAGGGCAAATCTATTAACCACCTGAGCAGTAATTTTAGGAATTTTTTATAAACAAGTTTTATTAATATAAACTAATAAATCAAACCAAAATAAGAAAAGAAAAGGAAAACTTTGCCTTTGTTTGAGTCTAAGGAGACTCTCCTGTTCCTCATTTTGAGATGTCATGGTTTCAAAATCCTCTTTATACCTCTCCTGTTTATTACTACTTCAAAATGCTCCTCCATGCTCCGTGTTTCTTTTCGCTCTTCCTCCTTGTATGCATATATGTGAGATAGAGATACAGGGTCACAATGGTGACCTGCATTTGCCAGGTAAAAGTTAAGAATAAGACTGAAAAAGGTGAAGCAACCATAAGCTTTTCTAAAAGTTATAAAGTAAAGTTTTGACGTGCTATATATGTTATTACTTCTCTCAATTATAATAAAATCATCCTCCTTAATCAGATCATATTTTTGGGGATGATTTGCATGTTTAGTTGTCATCATGTAAAATGTTGTGTTATTTGGTCAATAAGAAAGAAAATCCTTCTCGGCAGGGATGTTGTAGTCTATCTCGTCGAAGTTGACTTTATCGGTCAATGAGAAATAATGGGATATAGATAAAGATAAAGATAAGAATAAGGACATAGTTTAGGTATGATTTTTTTTTTTTTTTTCAATTGTAACAATGCATTCATAACTTACTTAAAATCGTGTCTATTCTTCTTTTGTTGTTGCTTAATCTAAAGTTTTATTTATGACTTACTTGAAATCATATCCATTTGCAATTTTCTTATATTTGGCTTCTCGAATCATGCATATTTTTATATTGATTCCTTTCGAATCTAATTGTACTAAGAACCTTTATATAACTTATGTTCAATCTGTTTGCTACCCATAAGCCTAGAATGGTATCAATTTTTTTTATTTAAATTTTTTTTTTCTTTTAACCAAAAATTTATCTAGTTTATATGCACAATGAGAAATGGTTAGTGTCGGACTCATGTAGTTTTTCATTTGTGACACGATATATGTACAAATAAATTTGTGATGGCATGAGTCCACCGGAGTCGTGACAATGAATTTTCATCAATGGTTGCAACAGGAATTTTCCTCTCGCTTAATCAATTATGATTTATAGACTCGTCACTATATTTTGTGCTGCCACTTTTATCAAGGAAATTTGTGACGATAGAAATCATTGAAACTTTTTTAAGGTTTCAATGACATTAATATTCGTCATTGAAGCCCAATTTTCTAGGACGGTAAATGTTTATATTTGTACTTTTTTGTCACATTTTTATCCTTACCATTCAATTAATTAGTACATCTTATCCTAAGGTAGTTTCTGTCCAATATTATGTTAGAATGCTTTGAAACCTAGATAAATATTTTGTCAAACTTTTTTATTTTGTTATTTTCTACTTATTTAAAAATATTAGGGGTAAATACGTGTATATGCCCTCATTAAGGGATTTTTTTGGATTGAGACAATGGGCTAAATAGCAAAAGATTGAGAACAAGAATGTGATTATAAAAAATAAATAAATAAATAATTGAGAACAATAATGTGATTATTAAAAAAAAAAATGGGATTACAAGTGATACAATAAACAAATGTTGGAAACTTTTTTTGGAATTAAAATGTGGTGTATCAATGAAAAACTATGAGATGAATATAATTACTAAAATAAATAATTATTCACTAAACAGTATTATAATTGTATTTTACCTAAATTCTCTGTCTATATTTTGTAGGTTAAAATGGATTTAGTTTAGGTTTCAAATCAATATTTTCTTTCCTTCTTTTCTCTTCTATACTAATTTATTCACTTCTCACAATTTACGTGTATCTAGGGTTTTATTGTTGTTGATTGAATTTTTTTAATCGTTCTCTGAACTTCTTTGGTTAAAAAGAGTAATATTATTTGGAGTTATCCACTATCATAGTTGTTTTACGTGACATAAATGTAACAGTTGATAATTTAATGGATTAATGTGATTAGTTTTTTTATTGCCTCGTATATCAAATCGTTAGCTGCCAAATGTATATCACATAAAACGACCACGATAGTGAACGATTGCGTATAATATTATTCGGTTAGAAATTATATTTTGTTCACAACGTATTATTTTTCCTTTGTTGGGTCAGATGTCTCGATCAAATCACTGAACAATTATTGCGCAATTCATGTTAAAACCTAACGTATCCAGAGTTAATTTCAATTCTGGTCACTGAACTATCATGAAAATCTCAATTCGATCACTCAGTCTTTACTTTTTCAATTTCACTAGATTAATTTCTGACTCATACATGGGCATTGAAAATTTGAAAAATAAAGGATCGCTGACTATTCAAAAAATCAAGATGTATACGATTGTGATTGGATATTCACAAACTTCACTTACATGATTGTCTCTTTCTTGACATTCGTGAGCAAATCAACAAATTTGAATTTTTCATGAAACTTTGCTATTTCTTATAAGCTTCCGCTACGTCAAAATCAGTAATAGAAAAGCATACTACATATAAAAGAATCTTCACCTACAATGACAATCCTAACCTTACATAGGACGTTTTCCATGAGGATCTAATCTGGGACTCTTGAGGCTCCATGTAGAAGTGACACTGTTTGTATTTGTTGTGGAACCAGAAGAACGAGAACTGTATTCTCCTGAAGTTCCAGAGCCAGAGGTCGGGGGTAATGGCCTCGCAGTCCTTCTATATCTGGAACCTGGGAATCCAGGTCTTGTTGGTTCTTTGAGAGTGCTTGGCTTCCTTGACAGTATCAACACCACCTCGTGCATGTTGGGACGCAATGCTGGATCAGCTTGGGTACAAAGCAGCCCAAGTTGTATGCACATTGCTATCTCTTCGGGAATTGCTGAGGGTGCCATAGTGTGATCTGCAACCTCCAAGCTTCTACCTTGCTTGTAAAGCCTGTATACCTGCAAAAGACAACAATAAACTTCTCAGAAAAGATCTGTTTTTGGTACTTTAATTACAATCTTTACAGAGGTATATTCAATACACAAATAACAGATTTATCTGGCCCTTCGATCTAAAACTAACATGAAATTAAGGGCCATTAACGTTTGTGTACTGCCGAGGCAAAGGATAGAGCGTGTTCATTAGGCAGAGACGTTCTACACACAAAACTAATCTGAGCATCTCAAAAACAACAGAGTCGAAACATGTAAGAGAAATCATATTCTTCTGAATGAATGCGAAACATATTCTTGTCAACCCCACGTTCAAGAATTATATTTTTCGGGTGTCTAGGATTACGAAAAATGCATTACCTAATAGGTCGAATTGTCATAGGACCACTAGAAGCCAAAATTTGTCTCAACTCTATCTGAAATAGGAATTTAAGTACTCCATTCCTTTCCCGCAGTAACAAAATTCTAATTCAGTATTCAACTACCAACTATGCAGGTCATTGACAGAAGAATTGATGAGTACAGAAAATTTATTTGCTGTCATGACCTTGGGTCTCAAATTTAGTATTAAACTATATCAGATGAACCGAAGGAATAGGATAAGGATCCACAGTCAACAATTATACTTTGGCTAAAAGATCAAGTTCTTACCAATTCAAGTAAGTTCCGTGAGTTAGGATCATGATTATAAGTTAAATTCTTCTGTCCACTTATGAGCTCCAAAACCAAAACCCCAAAGCTGAACACGTCTGCTTTCACAGAAAGTTCACCATGCATGAGATACTCTGGTGCTATGTAGCCACTGTTCCGAGGTTAATATAATAAGCAATTCAGCAGCATGACATAGGATTCCAAACCGATTAACCATAACAGTAAGCGAAAAAACAAAAATTAAAAGCATAACCACATACTTGGTACCAGCTACACGAGTGTTAACATGTGATTGATCCTCAGGAAAGAGACGAGCCATGCCAAAATCAGAAATCTTGGGAACCCATTTATCGTCGAGTAGGATATTGCTGGCCTTGATGTCGCGGTGTATGACACAAGTATGAGCGCCTTCATGAAGGTAAACCAAGCCCTTTGCTATGCCAGTTATTATGTCATGTCTTTGCTTCCAATCAAGTACTTGCTGACTACCAGAATCTAATTTGATAACATCACATGTCTCAGTATCATTGTATCACTTGTAATCTGAAGTTTATAATATAATTTGAACATTGTGCAAAATATCAAATAAATCTAAAGCCAATGAATTAAAAGATTTGACACTGTCTCACACATCACCTGGAGACTACAAATCCTCATCAAATCTTCTACCATTGACATTTGTATCTAAGTGTTTGTGTTCTAAAATTTTTCTATAGTTTTATAAACTTTTCAACTAGTCAAACAACAATTTTTACCACACATTTCATTTCATGAGATCCACAGCTTCCATTAACTTTCAACCACATATTTTATCAGCTTTTATCAAAATTTGCTAAAAACCTTTTATCAAAAGCTCTATCTAACAACCCCTAAATGTCACCGGGAAGAATCATATAAACAGTAAGCCAATGGATGGCAGTCAATTTGAAATGGACAAATATAAACCTCTTCAGTCAAGACATATTAAAGAACGTCCTTCAGAGAATTTAAATGCAACAAATTAAAAGTAGATGTGTTTTTTCCCTACTCTCTCACGCAAGAGAAATGAATCCAAAGTCAACCACGTCCATTTCCCTCGCCCTTGGTCATGTTAGATCACATTTACAGCTTCAAACACAATCAACCATGCTCGTGGACACAAAAAACAAAGAGAGATTGTATAAATTTAGTAATCTCAGGCCCTAAACAGGAAGCAAATGCTAAAACTCAATCGTGTTTTTAAGTAATATCTCAGTGAAATTGTGCAACTCTCTTTCGTGCAACAACTATGTAGATTTTGTCAAGAACCAAATACTTAAATAGATAAATCTGAGAAACATTGTAGAACTTACTAAATAGAAGTTTGTCAAGGCTCTCGTTAGCCACATACTCGTAAACAAGCAGCTTCTCTGCATCATGCACACAGTATCCCAACAAATTCACCACATTTCTATGCTGCATTCGCGTCAACAACTTCGCCTCGATCTGAAACTCTCTCTTACCCTGATTTGAGCCATGTGCTAGCTTTTTCACAGCTATTTGTCTCCCATCACTCAATTTTCCCTACAAATTACAAATGCCCACGAGTCTAAATCAAGTCTTTGTTCAGAATTCACACTAAATAACCAATCCACCCCCCACCCCCACCCCCCAAAAAAAAGGGAGGCCTGTTTTATCCTTTTTAAGGTGAAATTCAATATGCCCAGAAGCAAAAATTCAAGCTTGTAACTAAAAAGACCTATATTACCTTGTAAACAGGGCCAAATCCACCTTGACCAAGCTTGTTTGTGGGGTCAAAATCCTTGGTTGCAGCTTTAAGGGTTTCAAAAGGGAACTGCTTCTGTTCTTGCGCTGCAATTGCTTCCAAGTCTTCTTCCGTTTGCCCTATTCAAATCATCAAACAACAATCAAATAAAAACCCAACAAATCCACACAGAAGAGAAAAAAAAAAATGGAACATAGCGAGATTTTACCTCTGTTTGAGTTAGAAGTGAAAGGCTTTAAAACGTTTTGAAGAAAGTCCTTGAATTTATTACTCATGGCAAGTGTCGAGATTAAATAATCAAAGTAGCAGCATAAGTCTGATTAGTTGATTCTCTATCGTTTGGATTTTTATTAGTGAGATTCTGTAAATGCCTTTTATTTTGATGTTAGAAGCGTGTGAAATTTATGAAAAATGCGTCAAAGAATTGGTCATTTGGCTATCGATCATGAATTATTTAGTATTTGTATGAAATGATGTCTGACTTGGAGCACCCACGAGGACAGAACAGGACAAAATTCCAAACATACAAATCCGAGTTCTTCTACATAGCCAAAGCCACGGGAAGAATGATAGGCCGGCAGAAAATCAGGGAAGAAAAACAATAATGATTCATGAAGTTGTTGGGTGTTTTTTTTATAATTTTTTAAACTCTTCAATCATGCATTGATATATGTACAGTGCTCTCAAGGTATAGTCCATTAGTGCAAAGGATAGGAGTGAGGTTATCTCGCTCCTTACTGTCAGCCGCAGTGTGGGGGTTCGATTCCTGAAATATGAAATTGAACTCCTTGTAGGCGCAATATATAGACAGCTTTTGTTCTCTAATATACTAGGATACATTTCGAGATTTAACTCCCTCATGAAGTTCTAGGGGCAGGACGATGGGGCCCTCAAAGTTAAGGTCCAACCTTTTCTTTCTTTTTACATGTACAGTCTATTTTTCACCTTAGGGTGGAGGACAAGCTCAAAAATAGGGCGCCCATGTTGCGCCCTTTTTTTGCCCTTTCCCCCACCCTAGACAGGAAGCAAAATTGATTTTTGAAGCAACTCAGACGCCTCGGACCCCAATCAATAGGGAGGGTCATGTGTCCCCCTGTATGGCCAGCATCATATAGGCCATAGCCAATCATTCGAAATTCATTTTTTTTATTAAACTCCTTTTTTTAGGTCTCTTTTTCAATTATACATTTTTTCAATAAAATAATTTATACGTAAATTTAGAAAAAATTTCTTACTTTTTAATTTCATGTTATCTAAAAAATCACTATTAAAATATCTATTCACCCTAAAAAGGGGGCTCAAACAAACTAATAGATACAAGTCCGTATAGAATATAAATATTTTAAGAATAGATTTCGTGAAACGTAATTTTTTTTTTCGAGGAAATATGTAGTTAAAAAGTAAAGAAAATTTTTAAATTTATATATAAAATTATTTTATTGAAATATTGTACACGTTAAAATTTGAAGAGTTTTAGAAAATGGGAAGACTAAACATGGATATATTTATATATGTTGTAAATGATAAGTTTATTAGCGAACGAAAATTGTACTACTTCAACTCTCTAGAAATTATTATCGTTGTATCACTTATTCTTCCCTATAAACATAAGCTTTAATTCTTAATAAAACACACAAATTTATTAACTTATTTTTTTCTATTTCTCTCTTTTCACAACACGTTATCGGTAGGATCCTCTCAAAATTAAAGCAAAATATTTAGAAACTAAATAATTTTTATAAGCATAAATTTATCGCATGTATCAAATCAATTCAAGCTTCCAATTCAAGTCTGTAATTGGTTTATGTAATTTAGCAAAAAATCATATCTACTATTTACGCATCCAACTCATGAATCCACGCATCTCGATCCCTACCTTTATTTACACTTCCTTATTTACACGAATTCTGTTAGTTATTAATTATATAATCATTACAGTTGATATTTGTGTATAATCATTACAATTGATATATGTGCTTGTCAATTCTACCGTAATGAATTTGTGTCCACTATCATTGCTTTGTCCTTTACATTTTTTAATCTTGTGACTTTAATTTAAATATAAAAAAAAAAATTTTGAACCTCAACCTTGAGAGCCTCATCGCTCCATCTCTAGAATTTTGTGAGGAAAGTAAATTGCGAGATGTGCCCCAATAGGTCAAAAAATAAGAGTTGTCTGTACAGTGCGCTTACAAAAAATCGAACCCCCACATTACAACTACTAGCAAGACATGAGATAACATGTGTCCTTTGCACCATTTTAATTTTGTGGTATTGGTTTGTAGATTGAAGTAAAATTCTTGAGTATTGATTTGAAATATAGAACTTTGATTGGTACTTGTGAAATTAAATCTTTATAATTAGTAGAAGCATAGTGGCGAATGGTTTTCAAGGAAAATGAGAATGATTTTGTTTTGGCTTGTACAGTCCTAGTTAATTTTGTTTGTTATATATTCTTAGTCTCATTAAATTTTTTTAACAGTAACATAATGATTCCTTCTTTTTTAATGCTTTATCCGATTTATTATGTGTAAAGATTACATTTAATCAATAATGAAATAAAATTAATTCATGTGTTTGGTATCTTTTACATGGTGGTAAAAGATTTAGTTAATTCTGTTAACTTCTATATATGAAGATTTTTTCCTAATGCATGTTTAGTAATTTATATTCATGTTTGTATGGTAATTAATATTTTTAACCTGATTAAATAACTTTAGATATTCTATTATAAATTTTAAATTGATATTCTATCATATTGTTGTATCTGAAGTAGCACAACTTTATGATTAATATTTTAGAAAAATGTTAAAAGTAGATTTATCTATTATAAATAGTTTGTTGTTGCTCCTGAAATAGTACAACATTATAAATAATATTCTTAAAAAACATTACTTGCTATTGAAAAGTATAAATTATAATTTGCAATATTCCAGAAGAATATTAACATATTGCTTTTAAAAAAGAAATTGTAAAATACAACGGGCCCCCGAATGGCGAATGGTTTTCAAGGAAAATGAAGAATGATTTTGTTTTGGCTTGTACAGTCCTAGTTAATTTTGTTTGTTATATATTCTTAGTCTCATTAAATTTTTTTAACAGTAACATAATGATTCCTTCTTTTTTAATGCTTTATCCGATTTATTATGTGTAAAGATTACATTTAATCAATAATGAAATAAAATTAATTCATGTGTTTGGTATCTTTTACATGGTGGTAAAAGATTTAGTTAATTCTGTTAACTTCTATATATGAAGATTTTTTCCTAATGCATGTTTAGTAATTTATATTCATGTTTGTATGGTAATTAATATTTTTAACCTGATTAAATAACTTTAGATATTCTATTATAAATTTTAAATTGATATTCTATCATATTGTTGTATCTGAAGTAGCACAACTTTATGATTAATATTTTAGAAAAATGTTAAAAGTAGATTTATCTATTATAAATAGTTTGTTGTTGCTCCTGAAATAGTACAACATTATAAATAATATTCTTAAAAAATATTACTTGCTATTGAAAAGTATAAATTATAATTTTCAATATTCCAGAAGAATATTAAAAAGAAATTGTAAAATACAACGGGCCCCCGAGGTAGACATGTTTCCAAAAACATATTATTTTAATATTTTCCCTTGAAAGAAAATGCATAACTTATATCATGTCGATACTAATTACTTAATTAATTATTATATGATGTTTAATCATATTCTTCGAGACTAACTATATTTTCTTTTACTTTATTGTGTAGTTAATTAAATGGTAAATATTATAAAATTTGAGTTTGCTCGACTTGACATATTTGACAAAAACTATCAATCATGGGTCCTCGATGCCCATATCTATCTTCTTTCAAACGGTTTTGGAAAGACAATAAAAAAAGGAAACAAAAAATCTCTGTAGAATCGTGTAAAAGAACTTATCTTTCTTCATCTTCATCTTTACGATAGATTGAAAATTGAATATCTTACTAAGAACATCTAATAGCTCTTTGAAAAAATTTAATTAAAAGATTAGATCAGCAAAGGACTATAGTCCTCCCTAAAGCTCGCTGTGAATAGATACACATTTGTTTCCAAGACTTCAAAATTGTTAATGGGTACAATTCTGAATTGTTCAGATTATGTTCAAAATTGACCTCGTGTGGAGAAAAAACGCCAACAGAGATATGTTGGAGAAAGCATTTTCCACTTTTCAAGCCTCGAATGTGTCCCTACAGTAGCAATATTGTGGGCATGGCTTCAAAAAGCACTCAGAACTCATATTTTACCTCCTTGTGGCTGAAAAATAATGAACTGATGAAAAAAATCATGGGTTACATTAAATTGGTTCTGTACCATTGCCTGAAGCAAATGACACTGTATTGCTTGAAGATAAGAGCGTGGATGTGGATAAGGATTTGGATGTGAATACGAATGTGCACATAGAATAAATTATGGACAAAATAATTAACAAAGTTATCAACAATAAAACAATAATTTCAAATGGCACAAAGCAAATGAAAGGTGCACGTCCAAAAAGGAGCAGGAAGAAAGTTGTTTCAGATATGGAAAAAAGCGTATTAAGCAGTACCTATCGTACAACAAAATATCTTGTAGATCTCTACAAAAAACAATCAAGGAAGGGAAAAGTGAAAATAAATTTTGCTAATTATGATGGTCCAATTGATGTGACTCACTTGAATATCTTTGATTTCTTTGCTGATCTAAATGCAAATATTGACCATTTAATTAGGGTGGTGTAAAAGAAAATATATATTAGTTTACTTTCTAGTATTTTCCTTTTATTTTAAAAATTCAATTTGAAGTTTGTTTTTACTTTTTACAAAAAAAAAAAAAATGAAACTTTATTATGCATCGTTAAGTTCATAGAATTGAATTACGTTTACTATTTTAAATTTAAATTCAAGTTTTTAAATATATCCATTTTGTTATACATTTATAATGGATTGTCAAGATACCTACTTGATTGATAGTACAACTACTTATATTCTTTAAGATAAAAAATATTTTTTGGACTTAATATTAGTAGAAAATAATATTAATGCAATATCCTATTCATCAAATATTGTTGAAGATTTTGAAAAAGATTGTATTATTTTACCAAATAATACAAAATTATTTATTAATGATGCACTTTAATTTAGCATATCCAGAAGAAATTTGCTTAGTTTTAAAAATATCATTTGCAATGGATATGAGATTGAGAAGATGTAAGAAGATAATGTTGAATATTTTTGTATAATTTCTTTTATATCTGGTCAGAAACATATAAAAGAAAATTTTCATATACTCCCATTTGACATGTATTAAACATTTATAAAAATTGTTCAATTAGATATTGTCACAAACCAGAAATTAGTTGACCTAAAAAGTTTTATACCTTGGCATGATGGACTTGGATATTCAGGAGCTATAATGATGCGTCGAATAATAAATAACTCCTATAGATATAATCTAAAGAATCGAAATATTCTTTTACCAAATAATTATCCATGTATAGCTTGTTTATAAGGCCAGTTAGTCATTAGATATTCAATTACAAAGGTCAATATTGAATCT